TTCGCCGAGCGGCCCGTGTGATCCTCGTCGGCGCGCCGGGGGTAGGCAAAGGAACCCAGTCCGAACGCCTGCTCTCCCGCTTCCCTCAATTGTCGGCCATCTCGTCCGGCGACCTCCTCCGTCACAATGTCAAGAACCGTACACCTCTCGGCATCAAGGTCGAGCAGACTATGAGAACGGGCGGCCTGGTTCCAGATGAAACGATTCTTCGCTTGATCACCAACGAGCTTTCCCAGCGCGGGTGGCTGTCGGGTGTTCGGCCGAGCTTCATGACCATGGCATCCGCCGTCGATGCGGCTCCGGAGTCATCTATTCCGGATATAGATTCAAATCCAAATGCGGGCGCAAGTCTGTCACGCCAAGCATCCGAGGACCCGTCAGCCTCGTTTCTGCTTGACGGCTTCCCACGCACTGCAGTCCAGGCCGAGCGCCTAGATGACATTGTGCCTATCAACTGGGCGGTGTCTCTCCAGACCCCGTTTGAGGTGATTATGGAGCGCATATCGTCGCGCTGGGTGCACGAGCCGTCAGGTCGTGTCTACAACACCACTTTCAATGCTCCCAAAGTACCCGGACGTGATGATATCACGGGTGAACCACTTGTGCAGCGCGCTGACGATAGGGAGGAGGTCTATCGGGCGCGGTTCCAGAAGTTCCGGGAGACTAGCGAGCCTTTACTAGAGCATTATGCCAAAAAGGGCGTCCTTTGGGAAGTCCATGGCCTCAGCAGTGACGAGATCAGTCCCCAGCTGATTGGGGAATTCGAGAGACGGTTTCTATGAGGAGCTTACGGGATACTAGGTGCCTTCTGAATTCATAAGTTAGGCACGCATGCCTGATCGCAGGGGTTATGTATATTACGGGGTGAAATGTATGACTTTGAGAAATGTCGTCGAGTGACTGAATACCCAACACATCGATCGGAATCCGGAGCACATAGTGTAGTGACTATAGGGTGTAAACCAGGAAAGCATATATAATAATTTGGCCAATAGTCAGATGTGGATGGAATCACCCAAACCACACGCTTTGAGCAATAATCGTTATATTCGACATGTCGAGCCTTGCTCGCACCCATCTCATAACAACTTCAATCCAGCAGATACTACTCAATGCACATATCAACCCGATCGTTAATACCAATTCCTCTCTAGAACACTGCAATTATAAGGTCTATCTATCTAGGGAGACAGTAAACAGACCCCTTTTATATTTTATCCCAAACATGGGACTGCCTAGCATGGAATGTCACGGGATCTCAGAGCATAAACCATGAAACCAGCCTCTGACCTCATATGTCTTCCAAGCTGACCAAGATTAGCGCGGCTTACCTCCGAGGGGCTGATCCTGCCAGAACATAAGTAGGTACTTCAGGCGAGCAAATGGGGCTACCAATAAGATCTACTTGAACGCGCGGGGCATCTCTCGTCTAGGTACATATGTAACCCATCCTCATCCTCATCCTCATCCCATGAACCATCCACCTGTCGTGTAAGTTAAAAACCTTCAGTGGTTACACCCAAGCTTTGTCTTCGGCCGGCCCGGTATGAACGACTGTTTCAATCTTATATTCTGCCAGCTCGCGTTTGATTGGTAACCTCCCTTGTATTAGAGTTTCTTAGAACGCAGGCGCATTTTTCTTAAATTTCAGCTTGGACCTAAATGTATATGACATTTGCCTCTCTTGCGCATTCTCCTTGCTCTTTCGTTATCGCTGTATTTGCGCTACTCCAAATATCCTTCTATCCTGATGTCTCAGAGAGAATCTGAACGTGTCGTCCTGCTCTTGCGGCAGTTCCTCGAATTACCCTCTACCTGAACAAGTCACCCCTCGCTATACTTCTCAACACACCTATTCTCCTAAGATACCTCAACCCGTTCCTCTTTCGTTCCGTCCACACTTTTATTTCTATCTTCAAGATGGCTGCTATCCTGAAGCTCGCCCCCACGATATCCGGTTATACCCTTTTTGCATGGGCAGCAACCACGGTAACCGCTTTCAAGCTCCCCGAGAAATGTCCTATTTTCTTCGAGGGACATAGGCTATGCGACCCGATCGCGCCAGGAAGCTTCCTCCCTGCCTCCGTGAATAGTGCCGCCAGAATTAGGCCAGCCCGCATCGCGGATAATAGTGTATTCGCCGATCTTCTAGGCGCCCTAAACGTCACCCAGTCAGAATACTTCGCTCCGTGGCTGGGAACCTGGCCCGATTCCATCGACTGGACAGCTGCTATGATAGGCACGCACGTTTCGGGGGCGACTCGCAGTATTTCCGAAGATCTGGTCTTCTTACATTCAAAATGGGACGGCGATTCTGACTGGAGGCGAGCTTCTAATTTAATCGACAACTACTTCGCCCAGACTATTGCCTTTTACTTTGCCCAGGATGCTTTCGCTATTAGACACGAAGCTTACGACGATATTCTCTGGGTGGTTCTGGGCTGGCTTGAGACCATCAAATTCGTCAACACTCATAACGACTTGCATTACGACCTCCCTGGTAGTCCAGATATATCCGAGGCAACTCCGGGTGCCACTGATGGACTCTTCAACAGTTGTACAATGATTCCTAATCAGCCATACTACGGGAACATATGGATTCCGGCATTCGCCCACCGGGCGCGTGTATTCTGGGATCTCGCATCACACGGGTGGGATACAAGACTATGCAATGGAGGGATGGTCTGGCATCCCAAGCTACAACCATACAAGAACGCCATCACTAATGAGCTCTTCATCGCTGCATCAATCTCCATGTATCTTCTTTTTCCCGGCGACGACAACGAATCCCCGTTTTACAACGGCACTGATAGATTCAATCCCGACGACCCTGACGCGAAGGTGTGCAGCGGACGTCGAGACGCCAAGTACTTAAAGGCCGCCGTGGAAGGCTACCGATGGCTTTGCAGCTCCAACATGACGAACGACCAGGGTCTGATCGTCGATGGCTTCCACATCAGCGGGTACCTCGACGAGAACAACAACAACACGCGGTGCGACATCCGTGATGAGATGGTCTATTCGTACAACCAAGGCGTCCTCCTAACGGGGCAGCGCGGGCTGTGGGATGCCACGGGCGCAGCCTCATTCCTCGCAGACGGACATAACCTCATCCAGAATGTGATCAGAGCCACCGGTTACGACCTCGTATCCGATCGCCCCATCGACAACCCCCTGCACGCCAAAGCCGGCGTCCTCCCCCGATGGCACGGGCTGGGGCGTCTGGGCGTCATGGAGGAGCGTCTAGACGCAAGCGGGACAGGAAGCCAAGACTTGCAGACGTTCAAGGGGATCTTCTTCCACCACCTCACCGAATTCTGCGCGCCTCTTGAACCACCCCCACCAGAATCCAGTCTACGGGTCCACGCCTTCGCCTTCGCAGCGACCAAAGAGTCCCACGCTAACGCGTGCAGAGCATACGGCGGCTGGCTAGGGCACAACGTGCACGCGGCCATGGGGACGCGGGACGCGTCGGGGCGCTTCGGGCAGTGGTGGACGGCAGGCCTGCTGATGGGCGACTGGATCGGGCCGTGGCCGACGCTGAACAACGACGGCATCGACGACTACCAAGAGAACGCGACCGACTACCGCAACTACGGCGTGCCGACCGACACCACGTGGCGCAGCTCGCTACCTACTGCTGCGCCCCCGCACACGCGGTATTCGCCGTATGCGCAGAAGCCGCTGAAGCAGCCGCGCCAGGCTATCATGGAGGACCCGAATAACCGCGGTCGCGGACGCACCGTCGAGACGCAGAGTGGTGGGCTCGGTTTGCTTAGAGCGTACTGGAAGATCGCCCGGATGCCTTAGAATGGTTTCCGGCGATTCGTGCGTGAGGAGTTGGGATTGCGTGTTAGGCTAGATACCAATATGTTTTATCGGTCTGGGTGTTGTTTGCTTGGAGTTAGGTGTCTAAATATAATTTTGTGTTGACATTGGTAATATTATGCGTAATTATGACTTATTAGCAACTATCATGACTGTGAGTAGCCAGCCTTACATCAAGCCAGATTTGCTCAGCTGTTCTGTAGACACAGTTGTCCCATGACTTCGCCTACTTAGCAGTCCTATAGAATTGAAATTCAAGATGATCTAGCACCCAGACCTAGCGAAGAAAACCAGTAGTCACGGAAGAGATTATATCGCCTACAAGGTGCACATAAATATACCAATAATTCGCGAGATACGTCTCGATAGCTGAGCCGTATCTTGCAAGAGAGCGATTGAGAGCACTCGAGGAGATCTGACTAGGGCCTTGAAGTGAACAATATCCGGACCTAGTCCTCTACCCTGGCGAAACTTATGTCTTGCTCTCTTGCTTATTGAATTCGAATGCTAGCTTGAATTGTATCAAAAATTGCTAGAAGACAGGTTTAGTTCCCTACGCTTTCCCGGCCATAGTATGCATCACAGACTCATAAACCTCCTATTGCATTTCCGTTACAATACTAAAATTGAGCAGTCTACTACATCACTCCTACTTAGGCAGTCAGTCTAGTAAAGAGTTACTATCTGTCTTGATGACGTAATTTAAGATAGAGTACAAAGTCTATCTACTCAGATTCGCGTACATGTCCGATCACACGCGGCCTGCCTGCCTACTTACTCGGTAGGTAACTTTCACCGATAGGGTTCTATACTTTCCAAGGTGCCGCCGCAGACAAAACGTACTAGGGGGACAACAAGCGTAGGTCGCCATGCCCAACTTAGTTGGGTGCAACGGAGCAGCATCTAGGGACTTCAACTTTCCAAAAATGATTCTCATAAACCGCCATATCTAAGGATTCAACATTCCGTCTACTCCTTGTGTTAATCATCCATTATTACATTTACTGCTCAGCTAGCCTAGTCAACTAGCTTCCCACTCGCCGTCCGGGCTATCTATTCACCACATCCATCCTCCTTCCCTACCTAAGTGAAGACGGTAAGCAATATGATGCAAAACTAAACGACGGCAAGACATCCATCCACCCACAAGCGCAAGTGTCGCTGGTGGAGCTGGCCTCGTGGCCCAATGGCAAGGCGTCTGACTACGATAAAGAACCAAACCATATTCTGGTTTGAATTCTTCACGATAATCAGGAGATTCTGGGTTCGACCCCCAGCGAGGTCAACAATGTCACGCGACTATAGTTTTTGCCGTTTGGAATCATTATTTTTCTTTTAAATCATTTTATTAAGAGAATACCTATCTAGGTAGGTAGTCTCTCCTATGCACGTTGCACTGCACTATTTTCCTTTGCTAACTACCTAGGTAGGTAAGTACATTGTGGTTCCAAATGCCCGGCCCGATTCGGCCCGGCGGCGTCAGGCGAGCGCAACATCACTGTGTAGGTAAACTAAGTAGATATCTGGTGCGAGCAGATAGATATAGGTAAGAGAAGACGGCATGGACGCAGGCAAGCTTGCTATTCTGGTGTGGATTTGACATAATTGACGATTTGCGTCCCTTGCATTATGAGATAGATATTCGGTTGTGATTTCTCGCGTAACTGCAGTAGGAAGTGATATGCTGGGTTTTCATGTTCGAATAGTTATCAGGAAATGTCCCGGGAGCACTGCCAACCAGGAAACCCGTGTCTTGTATGAGTAATATATTGCTGACTGTACATGACCCCGCGAACTATGATACAGTATTGCGTCTTGTCGTTCGCGTACGTTCCCCCTCGTAATCTTGACCCCGTGCGCCTTTCCTTGCCTAGGTATTTAGAAAATAACTATCGCCCGCATTGCAGATGCAACAGAATTGTTTGTTGATGGACCTTGTAGTAATCTGGGAGGGCTGGCTTGTTAAAGGCCCAAAATAATACATTGCATCCCCTTACATCAGGGGATACCGGAACTTTTAGTTGTTCCGCCACTCATTCTCATTGTTCACACCAGGAGGCACATTCTTATTCGAGTCTGTGTTTGATCCCGATGGGGCGTCATCATCCTCGTCGTCATCATCATCAAGAGCTCGCGCCAGCTCATCAGGATCCTTCATCTTAGCATCTGGATCCACAACTCCAGAGATCTCATCATTCGCATCGTGGTGACGTTCATGCTCAAACGTCGTGTCGTCGGCACTAATCGAGATGCCCCGGGCACCCCACTTCGATCTCCGCTGAGACGAGGCATTGCCGTTATCGTCGCCGTTGAGAGCTGGGGCACTCTCCTCATCTTCTTGGTCGTTTTCGAAATGCTTATTGCCAAAGATGCGGCTGAGAAGCCAGCCCCGTCGGATATCATCAGCGTCGACGATGCCACCATACCGTAGCTTAACCCGTTGTCGCGTGTAGTATACCCAGAAGAAATCGAAATAGAGAGCGGTCTGGATGATGCCGAAGATGACGGACACGGCGTTCGGTTTCCGGTCGTTGGGGTCTAGCTCCCTCCAGATCCAGTTGATGCAGTAGAGTGCGCGATATGACCCTAAGGAAATAAGGTAGAAAGAGTCGATGACGGTAGGGACGTTCGTTTGTCGGAGGAGAAGCAGCTGAGGCAAGACGCAGATCGATTCAAGAATTTGCGAGAAATCCCAAACCCACTGTCAAGATAATTAGAGGCGGGCCCGAGTAGCGGAAATAAGAGCGAGCACGAACCGTGAAGAAAGACCATTGCTTCTTGCCCTCGAAGATAAGCATTACGAATGGAGCAAGTAATAGAGAGCCGGCGAGAATACCAGCTCCCAGCTTCCAGGCAATCTCCCGCTCCCTCGTTCGTGGATAGATCCAGCGCATGATGGCGATGATGTAGATGGAGGAGATGATATAGAACAGCTTAAAGAAGAAGTTCCATTTCGACGTCTCGGCGAAGATATCGGTATATCTGGAGCAGAACACGACAGCGTATAGGACCTGTGTGATCCATGAGACGCCTAGTCGGTTTGTTAGCTTATGCGACGCGTCCGCGGCTGGTTCTCTTCGAAGCATAGATACCTTCAGCACTGCGGTTGCGGTGGATGGCATATATCAGGATGACTTTCGAGAGGAGGTGGGACACGTCTCCCAAGATGCGAAAGACCTATCACTTAAATTAGAACACAGGGCGCAAAGAGGACGCCTCATGCGATAGGGTCAACACACGTTCCAGCCCATCTTTTCGAGGTACGCCAAGCTAGTGTAGCTATCGCGATTCGAATCTGTTCAGAGGGCCTATATGGAGGATAGCGGACGAAGACAGGTCGGGTTCACATATCAAAAATGACGCGACACTACAACATGTGGAAGATGCTGGCGACTGTTGCGGGTGATTCTAAATAGTACGGCTGTCTGAGGTCATAAGAGCTGAGCGGGAGGGAAGCTCCATGTTGGATTACGTGGAATCGCAGACGTACGCCGATGCGGAGCACTCCGCTTTGAAGCAGTAGCGTACCACCTGCATTGCCCCTTAGGCAAGGTAAGGTCCACTACCTAGGTTGATCGCGATAGCTGTGTGGCTGGGCCATTTGCAGTGGAGTCAATCGGATAGTACCAGCCACAGTCTTGGTGGGATGAGCCCGGCGCGTAATCGGCAACGCGTCTCGATACAACGAGATCCATTAGCACAGCACACTATCTACGTCAATCCACCGAGAGTTAGCAGTGGTGGAGGCATTGATTCTATTTGAAGTCCAGCAATGGTGCTACGTTCTAGACATCAGGGCCGACTACTATTCTCGCTACCATGGCCGCCAGTAAGTCCGGAATCCGTACCGTATTGATTATCGCTAACCCGCCGTGACCAGGCCGAGAGGAGCGCATGCAGCAGCGCATGCGAGGAGCTGGGTACGGTTATTTGTTTCCTTCTAGTTTCTCTGCTCTAACATATCTGCCATAGACGTCATGAGGTAGCCGACGACTCGTTCGGCTTCGTGCTGCCCGTTGCCGACACATCTCCCGATCCATCTCCCTCCCTGCCTCAAATACGATCGGAGCCTAACACATCCGCGAAGCGACGGCGGCTGAATAATGAGCCTGGATCGGCAAGCTCACAGCCATCAAGTGCATCAGCTGCGACAAGGTCTTCGGCGCGACTCAGCAGCGGCCAGAAACCCACCCCGATCAGTGCGATACAGCAAGATGTGGCCATGAGAAATGGCTCAGACTCTCCACCTACAACTACAAAACGGATTTCGGCCCGCTTAAACACACTAAATTTAAACCAGGCCGTCACTCCCCGAGATAATGGCAGCGATGCTATTCATCGTGGCTTGCCAGCCGTTGGAATAACAGGGGGGGAGCCCATGGACGAAGGGGACGACGAGGAACTACAGGAACCCACGCCACGACGGACTTCGCAAGGGTCACGAGGATCCGCAGCATCAAAATTATCTCAGGTGTCAATGATGGACTTCGAGGAAGAAGTTACAGAAAGCCCAGTTGCAGCGCCCGGGAGTGGCCGCCGCCGCCGTATCGAACCGACAGATGCCGTGACTCAGAGCACAAAGCTACAAAGGGTAGTTATGGCAGAAGAGGAAGCGGGGGCCACTGGTGAATTCGTAACATCTTCACCATTGGCACGGAAAACCAGGCAGAGCATGACAACAGTGGGCACCCTATCCGCAAGGACCACAAGAGCAAGCTTAAGGAAAACGCCGTCATCTCCAATCGAATCACTTCAGCGATCCTCACCCGTCACACACCATTCTCGCAAAAGTGAGAGCACAGCGACGGGTTCGGTACGGTCTGTGCGGTCTACGCGTAGTCAAAATTACCAAAGCACTCCTACCACCCTCATCCACGACGCAGAAGAACTTTCTTCACCTCCAGATGCTGCGGGTACTAGTAGTACCAGGAAGCCTCAGCTGAGGAAGAAGTCGGTAATCATCCCCGAATCCCCTTACGATATTGACGGGAGTGAGGAAGAAAATGAACAAGCCGAGGAAGCGGTTGAGCCTGTGGCTGAGCCTGAGGTTGAACCGGAGGTTGAAGCCGAGATAGAGGCGGGGATAGAGGCAGAGAGAGGTGCTGAAGCTGATGATGAGGAAGCTGAGGAAGTCGATGACCATGAAGCCGCCCGTCGAATTGGTCATAAACAGCCTCGAGTTAGCCCTCGACAGAAACGGCCGCCCGATGACGCAAATAGTGTAGATTCATCGATGGCCACGATAGATCGACCCACCAAGAAAAGACGTCAAAAGCAGAAGAATGTGAGCCCAGCTAAACAAGCCCAGCCCAAAACTGTTAAGGAGAAGAAGAAGAAGCCCTCCGCAAGACGGAAAAGTGATGGCGAATCTATTCCCGTCACAGTTCAGAGATACACAAAACCGCTACGGCGCAACGACAATGATACAGATGAGGATATTCTCAATGGTGACATACCTTTTACCGACCATAAATCTCCAAATGTCGTCGATGTCATGCTACAGATCTGTGAGGAGTCCATGGATAAGTATCTTTCCGCATTACACGAAGAAGCGAGCCAGGCGGACGGGTCAGCGAACAGGAAGATATACAGGACAAAATTGCGAGCCGTAGAAGCGTTTCAGGAGGAATTACGAACGCGACTACAGGCACAGGTGGGCACTCCCTCGATTTCAAAATCAAGTCAATAAATTAACGGGTCCAGACCATCGCCCTCGACAATCTACGTACGCTTAAGAAGCGAGTGCGGGCTGCACAGAAGGAGAAGGTTTCGCTCCGTAATGAAATACTGAGAATCCGCGCCGAAAGGGAGCAAGTGGCGCTCAAGATCGATGCTGTCAGAATGCGGCATGAGGCGGCAAACAAAGAGTCGCTAGTAAGTTTCCGTTATAATGAGGGATCAAAACGATGCACTAACGTAATTAGCACCAACTGGGTTTATCCTCTACTATGGATGACATCGAACTGGCCATCGAAAATGGCAGAATGGCGCCTGAATTGAACCCCAAGGAACAGAAGAGGGCGGAATTGGCGAACTTAGACCTCCTGATTTCTCAGATCACGAACCAGGTAAGCGTGACGGGCGAAGGAGGCGGGACGCTGAAACAGATCAAAGACTTCAACCTGTTTCTTGAACGCGTTGCCGTCGCTCTTGAAGGCAGATGAGGGAATATGCGTTACGAGTTTCTGGCTGTATGAATATGTTACGACGAGATGAGGACATGACAATGTTGGTATCCTGTTACTGTCGGCATTTTCACTCAGGGCGTTATAATTACGGTGCCGG